CTGATTTTATAGTTGACATTTCTCACCATCTTTAGTGTTAATTGAATATTTGAAATCCCTGACATTGCCCAAACATCATGACCTTTAAAGAGTAGCAGATGTAATATATATATATATATATTTATATACATATATAAATATACCAAAGTATGTGACTTGTTTCAGTGCAGTTGATAAAGAGCTTGCAGCAGTAGCTCAGTGTTGCCACATTTTCCCCACACTTGCTCATAACTAACTATAATTGTAATTTGAACAACCATCGTTAGAGTTGTTGTCAACCCCGTGGTGAGCTGAACACAGTCAGACGTCACAGTCCCACTCAGAGAACGTGCCTGTGCATATCCCTGTCAGCCCACTCTCCCTCCTCTCCTGTGTGGCCATTTTGCGGGGCTTTGCAGTGTCATCGCTGTGACAGATCAACGCTGTCAGCCCAGGAGATCCCTCTGTTTGTTTGTTCTCCTCCGAAAGGGGTTAAACTGTCAAGTTGACAACCCGCTAGACCCTTAGACTCTGCCCTGCTGCCTCCCTTTCTCTCTCTCTCTCTCTCCCTCTCACCCACCTTTTTCCCCCAAACGAGTGAAAATCAATACCAGATTGCCCGAGGACCACTGTTTGGTGTGGGTCTGACCCCTAGATGTCCCCTACTCTGCTTCTTTCATTACATGGAGCCCAGTATTTAACTTCCATCCTGATCCCTCGCCTAATTAGTTTCGATAAGCTCCGAGTCTGCCCCTCTCTCTCTCTCTCTCTCCCCCTTCGCTCTTACACGCTCTTACCGTGCAAACACATGGACATTTGCTTTCTTGCCCTTTGAAGGGACACACTGGGCTGGGAGTAATAAAAAGACAAATCCCAACACACACACACACAGAACAGGAGCTCCCAGTGAGTCTTGAGCTGGGATTATTGTTATGTTTGTCTAGCAAATTTTTAAAAACTACAATGAAATTAGATTTGCACCGCAGATCAAAAGTGTAAACACTACGGATATCCTACGTTTCCTGAAGCTAATGGTGTCAGCGGTGGACCACTCCACACTGAATTCTCTGCTTTTAGCCCTGCAGCCTTTTTTTTTACCATATTTTATAAATAATTGTAAAAATAAAAAAAAATAACAAATGGCTAAAATGACAGAAATGTTCGTATTGAAAGACACAAATGAGTCAGAGAATTAAAGAAAAGCTGATTTAGTTTTTGCCAAAATATCACTGTAGGCACAGAAACCCTGGAACTGAATAAAACAGAATATATTGGAAATACATATCTTGCCAAAACTATTTTTTTTAAAAAATACTAAAATGTAGCCACCAAGTGATTAAAGGTAGCCTAAAATAAAGCAGAAATTGAAATAGTACAGCTTAATAAGATTTCAATTTTCACCTCAAGTTTATTTTCTCAACAATTTCACAGATGTTATATAGAAATCAAAGACTCTTTAAAATCAAAATTATTTAAGAAAAAAGCCTGATTATTAGTTGGCAAATCATTAAATGAATAAATAAATATTAGAACGCCACCAACATGCGTGAGTGTTCCTGTGTACCACAAACATGTCCCAGCTCTCCTGTCCACCACTGACAAGCACCAACGACATGTCGGACCCCCTGCTCTGCTCTCCCCTCTAGGGGCTAAAATTACCCTCAGGAATGTAAACAGACTGCAGAGTAAGCACACGGCTTTCTGTGGTCCTTCACTTGTGTTCATCTCCAGATTTACCCCCAAACTGGGACTGTTCCATTTTGGCCTCAGAAGCCAAGGTTAATGGTGAGGATACTTCAGCCAGGAATTCACGAGGTTTTTTCACATGGCTTCTTTGTTCTGCTAGCATCCCTGGTCGCCTTTAACTGCTGATCACAACAACAACAAAAAAAAAAATTATTTTTCATGGTTTTTTAACTAAGAAGGAAGGTAGACATTTATGCCAATTCATTAAGTCCATAAAGTAGCTGTAAACTGTAGAGTGTAGGTGAAGAAGTTCACTGGTCCGGGTGCTGACATGTTGATTTAGTGGTGGTAACACGACTGCACTTCCAAAGGTGCTGACTTGGACGAAAGCCAGGCTTCTTTTTTCTCCCAGGGAGACATTAGAGGCCACACTCTAATTTTGGGGCAGGGTTCTGCTCACGGATGCAGAGGCCAGGAGGCCCAACAACACAACAACAAACACACACCGCTGCTTTTTCAACTCTCCAGCTGAACTCCTGATGAAATTGGAGTTAAATAAAAAAATCAGTCACTGGAGAGTAAAAAAAAAAAAAGCTTTGGTATTCACACGTATTTGAGTGGTATCTTTATACTTGATAGTGGATGTTAGAGAGTAAATGTGTCAGATTCCTACGTCCATAATATTGTATGGATGCAGAGTGATGCTGTTGTGTACTGTGCAGTTAGACCCATATGCATGGTTCTGAGTAAGTACTAACTAGAACTACATAGTGAAAGAACTGGTCTCAGGTGCCTCACTTCTGATTTCTTTTTAATAAAACAAATAGCGGTAGCTGCAGCCGTAATACCTATTATTATATGTCTTATTCTAGAACAGCACGCTTGTTTGGGTTTTTTTTTGTTTTGTTTTGTTTTGGCTGCTGTTATATTGTCGAATCCAGTGTAATGTTTATATGTCATCTCACTTGTGTATGTTAAAAACAAACAGCATCAGACACACATCCTGTGACCTCACACATAAACACGATATCATCCACATATACAGATGTACACAACACTGCTCCTCAGCTGGACACATCAGGACTGCAGGCGCCCAGTCAGACTGACGCTGCCCCAGCGAGGGCAGATAGGGTTACAGTGCAAACTGTTGTTGATTAGGACGGGGCCTGTAGTAGGGGATCATCCGAAATTGAAAACACGTTACTGGCTCGGGTTAAGGGCAGGATTAGGACCAGGATGTCCAGGGTGAGAAGGAGCAGCAACAGACGCAGAATGGCTGTCCTTCTGCCTGCTGGTGACTGTGCGTCCCAGGAGACAGGTGGCAATTATCAGCTAGGGCTGCTGGGAGTTCACAATAACAGGTTAAAGGAGCATGTATCCCCCTGATGCTGTGGCCCTCTCTGTTTGCACGGGCTCCCAGCCCCCAGCCTGCTTGCCTGCCACAACAGGGAGCTTCCTGTCTCCAAGAACAACTTGCAGACAGGGGGACTCATCAAAGACTAGAGGGACTCTCCAGGCAGATCACCAAATTAGCATTGTGGCCAGTGTTTGGCTTCTGAGACTAATTAGCCTCATCTGAAAACAGTGAAAGCCTAAGAGACGCTTTTTTGGTCTGTCATTTTGTACCTCCCCATATTTAGACGTAAAAATGGTTTTCTTCAGTCTGAAGAATGAGTGCGTTTATTGTTTTTACATCAGACTCACAGATATGATTATTGCTTCCCCATAGTTTCTGTGGAGTGATGGCTGCGGAAAGAACATTTGCACCCATTGCCGTAATAGAACATAATAATAGCCGCATCAAGTGTTAATGAATACCCACTCAGTGTGTCATAACTGAAGAAGATGAAGCCATTTCCATGATATAAGGAGTCATTACATGGGATGGTGAGTCAATATCAGAGAAAAGATCAGATGAGCTCAGACCATTTGGATGTAAACCGATTCACTGCAATTATAAAGACACTAAGTCACTTTTCAGTGACAGTGAACGAAGACAAAATCTGACTGACAGCCTCACAGCTCAGTGGCCAGAGTCAGATCTCAGAGGAATAAACATGAAAGCTTGATATTCTGACTGTTTTGGCCACAAATTCACAATCCAATACATGATTCTACAGGAACTTTAGATTTTTCGTTATAGTCTTAAAAACCTGGATCAGAACTAATTCAGTGTTTTTCAAAGGTTATTCCGTTGTAGAATTTACTTGTACTTTTTTCTTCGCCTTGATATAATTATCATCCCACAGCACGATAGGAAAACAATGTCAACAATCGTAAATTCTATAACATTATGCTCTAAAGTCAAAGATCAATCACTTTCAGCTCATCTCTTTTCTATCGGGGGAGGTGACAGCAGTAGGAGTACACACAGTGAAGAATAAAGGAATCACACCTGAAGCCCTTCCTGACAAAATCCAACCTGGGGATCGGGGACTAGCTGGTACCGGGTGGTAGATAGGAATCGTGCCCCAGTCTTGAATCTTCTATGCTACAATGTGTTGTTGAGTGATTTCTTAGGGGAGTTGACTGGATTTTAGATTTCTGTTCTGTTTGAGTCTCAACACGTGGTACAAGTTGCTTGGGTCCAGTCAGCACTGCCCGGTGTGTAACTGGAGTCTAACCGTGTTAATACAGTGGTACCTCCTCGATCTTTGTCTAAAGGTCATGTTGTTCCATGACTGACTCAGAGTGTGTTCCGAGGTTCTCTGATGTCATCTCAGAGTTGTCATCAGAAGGTTGCACTGTCACACACAGTATCCTCAGAATTGATTCCTGAACGGTGAACAGACAAACATCAAATCAGGCCACGCCTTGTTTGGTTTCACTCCACATCCGAGCCGACCAGCTCGTGTCTAAGTGCATTGGACCGTGACGCGATAGATTTAAAAGGAACCAGCGTTTTTACACACACACACACACACACAAACGTTTCTCTAAAAATGTTTTGCTAACGTGGTAGGCGACATGCCCAGTTAAGGGACCTAGTGAGTTCCAAATGGTGATTAGAACTCCTCCCGAAGGTCAATAAAAAAATGTTTGGGAACAACGATATCCCACACACCGATCCTAACTGGGACCAAATGGTGATGTGAGCGCTGAACGAACAACGTTTCTCTGTTGTGCCATCAAAATAACAGGTTAACAAGCTAATTTGTTTAGCTAAGTGATTAAAAATAATCAGTGTGATAAATTAGGTCATTTTTAAGTGTCGGGGTGTTTAAGAGCGGTGATAAGATTCAGAGTAACTGGGGGTGTGGATCGGGGGGGCAGAACAAGTGATAATTAGTTAGAGGAAGATAAAGAACTTTCAGGCATTAGGTTCAAAGATAGGGATGAGGGGTTTGGATACAGTCGGCTTTAAGACCCAATCATGGTTGTACTCAACTGGAGGTGAAGCTCTACCAGCCAATAGTAGCACAGGTACCAGAGCTAACATTAGCTAACAGCAGTTGTGGTACAGGGAAATAGTTCGGCTAGCTCTCAATAGACCAGACAGTGAGGTCCACGGCCCAAAAATATTACTCTTATCACGTTCAATAAAGTAGCAGTAATCGAAGACAAACTGATTAAAAAGGCGTTTTAAATTCCATTATCAATTCAATCATTACAATAAAAAATATTAGAATTATACCATTGTTTATTATGCCAAATATAGCTAGTTGATAAAAAAAATGTGATGACTTCATTACAAAGTCAAAGTTCATTACAAACTACTTTGAATGTACGTTTTTTTTTAAATGTTTTTGTAACGCATGACCTTTTGCCCCTTCTCTACTCAAACCATACGGACCTCCACCTCTGCTCAATAATTACACTCCGCCCTCAGCAGTGATATTGAGAACCCACATCTTTGCCACCTCCCATTACCATAACCCATCACTAAAAAACATAAATACGTCTACGATATGAAATATTACACCTGACAAGACTTGTTATACATTTTTATGGCTTTCTTTTCCACCTTAATTACGCCGCTTACGTGACGTTTGGAGTTGCCCTATATTTGTGTTTCACATACCAAGGCCGCGTTGAACCCTTCCTAGTCTGTGAGGAAAAATAAAGGTGAGGTGGGAGGGCCGGGTTTTCTATTTTTAGCTCTACGTGCAAATAACCTGCCAGCGAGAGGTTAACTTTTCCATCCATCCCCCATTACTTACAGACAATGGGTGGTACTGTATATTTTTTCAATTTTTTTTTCCACTGTTGAAAGACATCCCTCATCCAAAAAACTGTATCACCAAAACAGTCGTACAGTACACATCCAAAAACAGCAGGAAATACAATCAGAAGCTAGTTTTTACCTGAGCAGTTTAATTTTAAAAAAATAGTACAAAATATTTTATTTCAGTATAAAATGTTGACAAAAGGCCACGACTTATTGTACGTCATATCGTATCTCTATAAACTCATCAAATAATCCTAATCCGTCTGCTTTTAAAAAATTACATTTTTTAGAAAGTTTACCGACTTTTCTGCAAGAGAATCATCACATCATCAGACCTACTAAACTGTTACAGTTAGCTGCTGTGTACACGCCACACATACAGACACCTAACAACGCCACCATCTGACCTGGTGAGGTAATCATCATGGCCTGTGAAGACAAATCAACCATGGAAACAACAGGTCATGTGTCTCTGACGCTGACTATTTCTCTCCTATCCTCTGAACACAGTTCTTCTTTTTCCAACACAGACTTTTGTTCCTCTAAACCCCTCAGCCTGATCAGCTCCTGTCTTTAAAAGAAGCCCAGCAGGTTCTGTACCTGCATTTCAGGGAGCAGAGCAATGACTAAAGCTAATGTTTGGCAGAAGTTCAGTGGCTCCTTCCTCACGACCTGATGTATGGATGCTGAAAACAAAGAGGGCTTTGTGGAGGAAACCTCAGAGACATGAAGTTCACCCTCAGGTAGAGGCTTACGACATCTAAATCATCGCCGGGGCATTTGTTTAAAAAGGCTCTGTGTGGTATGTGAAGTGAAACGAGGGGGAGTTTTTAAAAGCCGAGCGCAGATTCGTCTCGATTTTATTGATAATTCATCATGTCGTGTAATGTGTTTTGGCAGAAGTGCACGGCCCCGGTTTAAGAAAACCTCTTTTCTCACCAAATGTGGCAGATCAAATTAACCCGGATCTGTGTTTTAGTAGAAATGTTCAAGTGTTGAGGTTTGTAGCAAGGCGTGCCGTTTGACCTCCATAAACCTCGGACTTCTGAGGAACTGAGAAGAGCGGCAGAAAACCAATAAGTTTGCACCTTTTTTCCAGGTCGCATTTGCTTCTCTAACATCAACAGTTTTTGTGTTTTTTGTTTTTTTTTTTACATTTGCTACCAACAGTTATAATTGCAGTATTTGTGGTGCAAAAAAAAAATCTCCATTATGTGAGATTTGCAGACAGACACTAAAAACTTCCTCTACATTCAACATTTTTGCGTTCCCGCTGCCTCGCTCTCATTAGGCTGTGGCAGTAAGCTGCTTGGCACCTGCTATAAATGTGGCCGCCACCCGCTCATTAACACCAGCAAAAGCGTGGCTGGCAGCCGCAATCCACGCCCGGACTTGTCAAGTGCCCCCACCCTCAAACACCCCACACTAAAATTAGTCTACATTTAACAAACAATTTCACCAACTCGTTACATAGTTAGGTGTTTATTGGTCGATGGCTGACTCCGACTGGGAGGTGGTTGTGTTGTGTGTAATAAGCACATGCCCGGTTACGACGAGACGCTTTCCGCTTATGAAACTCTAATTTGTTCCACCAGTCTGAGTTCTTTTCGCTTCCTTCGGTCTGACAAAAGCGAACTACGTATGGTTGGCATCGTCCTGTTCGATGAATTTTACTTTTTGTTATAAATTAGGGGGAAATTCAAGACAAACTAAATCCAAGAACCTTTTGTCTACTTATCCTCCATGTAGAGTCTGAATACTTCTACAGCTGCGTTTCTGTCGGAGTTTTTTATTTTTTTGACACAACCTGCTTCTTTGTCTCGACCAAGAACTACAATTTAGTCTCTCTCTTTCAAGTGTTCTCTATTTTGCGGATAAAGATCCAAACTTATTGCAGATCGTCACAATAGACTTCGATACATAACTAAAAAAATATAAAGTTTGCTCTGATTAACAAATATATAATTACTAATTACTACTAATACTGTTTTTGTTAGGATCCAAATTTAAATGTTTATTGACTAAGTAAATACCTTTTTAAATATGTTGTTTAATTTGTTTATGATGTTTGATTATTATTAAAATATGACAAATTAAATTAATACATCTTTCATAACATTTTTACTTACAGTACAGATAGTATTTAGGCCTAAGTACTTCATATATTTCAAAATCTCCTAATAAAATCTACTCCTATTTTTATTCCAGAATTCTTTTAGACTAAATATATATTTTTTAATATTTTTGTTTTTATTTATTAAATTTTCTCACTGTGACCAAAACAAAAAACTTTCTGCCACATAATAAGTTGTATTCTCCAAAAAAATGAGACAACAAAGTCCAACTCCTACATAGAGTTTCAATGTGTTTCCTTGTCTTTTCTATCAGTTACATTTAGTGTAGGCTGAACATTTAGGGAAACCTTAGCCAAGTCAAAAACTTTCTGCCTAGAGTCGGGGCGAGCTCCAACCTGCTTCAGTAGATCAGAACTGACTGTACCTCTGCCTTTATTTCCTGGAGACCGTATCTAACAGATCCTTTCTGATGTTTTTATGACTAACTTCAGTTGGGCTCCTTCTATGTTCCTCTCCCAGACTCTTGAGTTTTAACCTCAAAGTCTCTGTTGTATTGCATTAATTCTGAGTAGAATTCCAACTCCATTTGTTTTCTTTTGTGCGACAGGAGGGCCTTGGTGACACGACTCCCTTGTGTTTAAAATTTTGCTTGTTTCTATTTGCCCTCGACCTCCGTGTGACGGACCCCCAACATGATGTATGGCGCACCTCGGCCTTATCTGTTGATGTACAGTTTTAACCTCTCGGAATGTTGCCCTTCTCCACTCTGAGAAAGCGATTCTTTCCCTCTGCGTGTTTCACCTTTCCATCCAGAGCACAGGAAATACATACGGCTCAGCGGCAGCCGAAGAGAAAAGTAAAAAAAGAAGAAGAGCACGACCTCTTCTCCTACAGCCATCTAATGTAAATGTTTAGGTTTTGCTTCCATAACATTACCATACTGAGTTGGGGGAACGGTGCGCAGCGGCGGAGCACAGAAAACGATGGGAGTTTTGGGCGCTGCAGCTTTGAGCCGGCACTGAGAGGCTGAGCTATGTGTGACATTGTGTTGAACTTGCAAGTGTGCATTTGTGGGCTTTCTCCAGGGCTGTTAGCTTTGGCCTGTTTGCTCATAGATACAGGGCCGTAAATCACACACTGTAAAATGCAGAATGCAGGGATGGGGTGTACAAGCATGTACTGCTGCAAGGGCCTTGTGCAGTGAGGGATGCGTCTGTGTGTGTGTGTGTGTGTGTGTAGTCGCTCTCTCTCTGTGCATGTGTCTGTCTCTATACAAATCCTGTATGTAAAACATGCAGCGCCTCAAGGCCTACTTCAAGCAGAGCAGTACACGTGTGTAGCCTGTCCTGACAGCTGATTTTTGCTCTCTCTCTCTCTCTCTCTCTCTCTCTCTCTCTCTCTCTCTGAGTCGTAATTTATGTAGATGTCTAAGTTCTGAGCTCAACCATCTATGTATTTGGAATAATCTCATAAATTGTAACCTCACAAAAGGACTAAAGCGTTTGTAAAACTACTCCAACAACGTAGCACGTTGGAGTCTTTTAATATGAAATGATTGATTGTCGGTTCAAAGTTTTATGCACTTTACCTTGGAGCTGAACTTGTGCTGCTCTCCGTGGCCCTACAGCCAGCTTCCTGTCTCGGTCTCCGGAGGCCTCACAGCATTGTTAACTGTCTAAGGATAGAGTGTCTGGAACTTAAAGCACACTCCGTTCCCCTGAAACGGCTCCTGCATGTGGTATCTGAGGTGCTTTCCATTCACAGTTCAACTGTGACACGTCTTTATGCATGGAAGCTAATGTTTAAAGAATAGCTATGATCTATATGAGGCAGACAGGGGGCACCGGTGAGTCTTTAGGGAAAATGTAAATAGTTTTTTTTTAAAAAAAGACAATTTATTGCCTTTCTGAGGAACAAAAAGTAAAAATTCTGTTGTTGGACCACTTTTTCACTTCAACCATATCTCCATCATTTTTATCAGACCACCAGGTGCACAGTAGTAGGAAACAGATTCCTGTTTTTTATTGCAATTATCCATAGCCTTAAATGTAGAATTACCAGTATTTTATGGTTTTTTTTAAGTTTTTCAAAAACATGTAGCTCCTCCAGTCTTTGTATAAAGAGTAGGAAAAAAGTAAATAATAAAGTGTACTACACCGTATTTAACCCATCTGTACAACAGGAATATGGTATTGCATTTACTGCACCTGAGGGAGGAGGGTTTTTTTTTCTTTGGTGCTAGTTTAACACATAAAAAGTCCTTCCAATTATGGGATTGGAACCAGCAAACATGCGTTCACAAGCCCGATCCTGTAACTTCTAGCTCTTTTTTACGCAAGAATAGGCAATAGTAATAAATCACAGTTAGCTTCTGGTATAATAGTTGCCCTTAAATGTACCATGGTTCTTCCCTAGCCAACAATACTAAGAATCTGCTAGTTTACGAGGATGTACAACTTTAACAATGCTGCCAAAAAACTTGAGACCAGATTATTTTTTGGTCATTAAAAGGTTAATTCTTTGCTCAAATAAACTATTGGTGCCAGCTCTACCATTAAGAAATTGCAATGTTTTCCAGTGTTTCTTCTGCTCTCCGAGTGAGTGTGAAGAAACAGCTGGACACTGCTGGACCGGCTGAAGTTAACCACCAGATGGAGTGTGTTTGAGTCCTAACACTTGGTGTTGAACTCTGTGTGCTCCCGCTCATGAGCCAAGGGCTTCCGATGACAGGATCTGCAGGCCTCAGTGTACAGCTTTGTTATTTCACAGATTATTGTTATTTCACTGCCATTGTAATGTGATCAAGTGTGTATCAGCCTGACAGAAAGATCTTAATCTCCGTGGCGGCGTTTTTGTGTTTGGTGCAGGGCACGTTTCCTGGACGGTGATCAAAGCCAGCGTTCTCAATGGCCTGATCCGTCTTCTCTGGTGTTTTCTAAATCCGCGTTTAACACTTGTAGAGATGCAGATCGAGGGCTCCAATATTACAGAAGGTTTTAGCGTAGACGCACTGATATACTAACCAAACATGTGGTTCATTGTGTTCAGGTTTGGTCCAGGCCTTGTGATCTACTGGTACGGTTTTATCGGAGAACTGGACTGCCAGCGAGACAGAGGAATCCTGCTCAAAGACTGCTTCCCTACAGACATCTCCACTCTGTGCCATGCCTCCCAGCCAGGCCAACTGCCACAGGATCCACAATAAGGACAAAGAGAAAAGATGAGACGTGGAGCAAAAAAAAAAAAAGTAAACACAGACGGGAGATTAAATGGAAGAGGAAGACGAGGAGGCTGCGTCCAGCAGGACTTTGCGATTGCTTTCCTGCAGTGTGAAAATACCGGCCAAAAAAAAAAAAATGTCCCTGAACTCCACCTGAACTCCCCGTCTTTGTCTGTCTCTTACTTTTTTTCCTCTCTTTCTTTGCCCCTAAGCTAAATCCACATCAACACTGTGTTCTGTAATATTTGACACAGCAGGATCACATTTATACCTGCATATAAAAAAAGAAAAAAACAAAGTCTTGGAGTCGGTCCCTGGCCCCTGGATGGCCCCCTTACAGATGGACAGAGGGAGAGAGCGTGAGGAGCCAAGGCAGGACAGAAGGCCTTTCCTTATCACAGCCAAAGCCCTGGCCTTTGTCACTCCTTCCTCCTCCTTCTCCTCTTCTGTTGGTCAGCCAGATAACAGAGGTGTGGTCCATGTGGAGGTCTGTCTCTCACCTGCGTCACTCGGTGCCCTTCTCTCTCCTCTCTGGCTCTGACTCTGGGAGGGGGTCAACAGGATCGTTCCTGATTAAAGTTGACCTCACAGTGACCCCCATTTCTCTTTACACTATTATAATTGGGGGTGGAACCAGGGGTTTGGCATCAGGACATTGTTGTCATCACATTGTATCTGTTGAAATGAATGTGTTTGTTTGACTGAACTGTAAATGAATCACTAAAAATGGCAAAATATTTGGGTTTTGAGTTTTTTCTAGGGTCACTGGATTAATCTAACAACATTGCATTTAAATTACAATAAACAAGTGGAAATTGTATTAAATGAAAAATAGTCTTCGGAAATAGATTTTCTGTCAAACCAGAAAAATTATAAAACCTCATACTGAAAAGTGCATATTTGTAGCCTAACATATCCTAGAGTTAACAGCTTACTGAACCATAGCAATAATGCTAATGCTAGTTAGCACCACTGGTAAGTAGCATTAGCATTTTGTAAACAAAATATACCCTCTTTCTCTGAGAAGTGCAACAAACGTACTCTGATCTTGGTATTCTTATACACAGCACCAGCTCTACGTGTACATGTTTTCTTCCAGAGCCACGTGAGCGTCCACAGGTAGACAGAAACACCTGATTCCCATTTAAAAAGGTGAGCCATCACTCAGAGGTTGTCACAATCACGACTTTACAACCCTGGTACCTTTTTATGAGCACATACTAATGGAAGAAACACAGCTGGGCAGAGGAAAGCAGAAGAGAGCATAAAGTTGAGTGATGCCTTTAGAGGCAGATATAACTGACCTACAGGGGGCCTCTGTCCTGTCCTGTCCTTTACTGCACACAAAACGGTGAGAGGAAAGAAAAGTGAAAGGGCAAAGAACCTGCTGCAAACATTTAGGAGAAGGCATTTTGCGAACTATGGTTTTGGACCGTTGTAGCATGATGCTAAAGACATTTCTGTTGGGTTTTTTTGTTGTTGTTGTTTTTAACTTCAAACCACAAGTCGGGCCACACTAGTGACTAAGTGGTTAGTCCTTTTCGGTCAGATCATCAGTTCGATCTTAAAATATTTTAGGCACAACCTGACTTAGCCGTTTTCTGATGTTCAGATTTAACCCCCGTCCCTCTCATTGGATTGAAAATAATCTTTTCTATATTTGCGTGGCACAGTTATGCTCCACTCACAGTTAGACGCAGGAGGTATGTGGGGGTTAAACAGCACTAAAGTGTTGCTTGATTTGTTACCCTTAAACCTCTAACCCTCAGCCGGCTGCCATCTAGGCCTTGATCCCTCCATGAGGAGGCCAGTGGGTCACCACAGGGTCACCAGGCGGCCATGGCTTCCTCTGAACCACCCCCCACCCTCCCACCTCCCAACTGACCCCCTCCTGTTGCTCCATGTGGTACAAAACAACTGTCCCCATGTGTCCAGTTAAACCGAGCCTATTGCTTGGCTGTGGAATGCTTAGACATGACTTTATGGCTCCTGTTGGACACAAAAACAGTGCTATTTTACTCAGGGAAGGAAAATTCTCTGTTGTATAAGAACAGCAGAGAAGAGAAAAAAAAATATTGGGAAAACAGCAGATTCAGTTCCTCTTGAGTTTCGAGCCTTCCTGCCATTGTTTCCTAAGATGGCTGTTGCACAGACGAGGAGCTGGGGGTCAGCTCCTATAAATTAGCTTCTGCGCACAATGCAAAACTAAATACAGCCTCTTTATAAACCGACTTCAAAGCCAGGGCGCCGGCGCTGTCGTCAGCTGACGAGATTTCCGTGATGCGAGGGCAGAAATGGGTGAAAACAACTGCTTCCATCTGACGACGTTTAGCAGAGCGACGTCTCTGTTGGCTTGTTTTCATCTGCCCTGTTTCCCACCTGCGTTTTTAGATCCATTGTTCTGGTCACAATAGGGGAACAAGTGGTTTACACAACAAAAAAAAGGAGAATTTTGATTCACCAAAAGCCTTCCAGAAAGATTTTTTTCCTTTCAATGGAATATGTTTTTGACTTAATTTATGACATTTACAGAAAATCAATTTAGTGTAAAATAGAAAAGCCTGAAAGCCTATTATTAATCATCCTTTTTTTCCTCCGTGGTTCTGCTGCCAATACAGCATAAGGATTTATTTACACCTTTTACTGTTTTGTAATATTGGTTACAATCCCTTAAATCTGTGACTCCCATGTGTCAGATTTGTCTGATGCACTTCACAGCATCCACAGCGGCCCTGGCCTTGGGCCTGCGGGCTATTGGACGTCCACTCTGCACTCAGATGTACATCTTGGCCCAATCTTCTTCCACATCCTGCTGTTTTATGTCTCTTCAGCCGAGCCGCTCGATGTACCACTGAGACTGAGGAGCGGGAGAAAGGAGGACAGAACCAGAGCGGACCCGGGCTGAAGGCTAACTTCCATCCCTCCAGCAGGACCACCAGACCGACTTCCTCCCCTCTGCTCCTGCGTTATTTATGTGGAGAGGGCTCTGGCCTGTTACTGCCCCAGGCAGCACAGGGCTGCTATAAGTCGGGGATCCTCTCTGACTAACCCGGCCAGCGAGACATCACAGGGAGGAAATAAATAAAAGTTCTCCAGGAAGGGCTTGAGAAGTCGGTTTTCAGACTTGGAGAAGAGCTTCTCTGCACTCACCTGAAGCAGAGTGAAATATTTACTCTAGGAAAACTCACTCTGTCAATCATATATTCAGGCTGTTTTCATTGACAAAATGAAGCAGACGCTTTTGATGATGCAATTATGACATAATAATGCACTATTTTGGGCTGCATCGCACGGCTGCACACTCTGAGTCAGGGTCTCCCGGAGATTTTTCTCCCCACTGTTGCTGCTCAGTGTGTGACTTATTCTGGTTACTATAATAATCGACCTCACATACAGTACATTCCTACTTTTCTTTTTGTTGCAGTTTTTATGATTTACACAAAATATATCTATGTAGAAAATGTCTCTAAATAATAATAAATGTATCTTAAGACAAATCAATTTTGGTCGACTCGGATTAGTGAGCAAAATCATAGTCGGTAAAAGTATAATTTATGAAAAGAGTAGAATAAACAGACAGGAAAAAGAAGAGGAATTACTGCAAGTGTTTCTCATGCAAACTGACTTTAAAGGGGGTTGGGGGTTTGGGGAGGGGGGCGTCATGATGGAAAGGTGTCGACTGGGCTTCTCGTTAGCCAAGGGATTCAATTTAAAGCCCAGCTCTCATTTGCAAACACAGTAGCGCTGCCTTTGTAACCCACACCTCCAGAGACACCCAGGCAGCATATTTGGAGTTCTCTCGGTGGAGACCTGATACTGCCTGTGTCTGTGGCCATGTTTGGGGCTGATGACACACATCAGCCATATTTCACACCAGCTATTTTACCTGTCACGTTTGATTTGTCCCTCATTGTCGTGGATACGAAACAGCCACTAGGAACAGTAACAGTCAGAGAGAGAGAGTCTGTGAGGCCGGTGGAGGGAGCCAGGGTTTGTGGTCAGAACCACAGGGGTGACAGTCCTCCAAGGAGACTGCCTGTTCCAGCAAGTGCTGTTGGAAAGGTCACCCACCACCTCCCCCCTCCCCACCCCCAGAGTAACATTTGGACTGTGACAGAATGACCCAGAAAGTATGTCATCTCCTGTTCACAGTGAGGGTCCAGAGGATGCCTGTGCAGGTACAGGTACAGAGCAGAGGTAGGTAGGGGTGAGGAGAACAGCAGGGCGGAGGGAGAGAGAGCGGGGGAGACGGCAGTAGATGTATGAGCACTGACATTCACAAAGACTGGAAAAGTACAGCTGCCGTCAGTATATATATATATATTAAAAAAAACGAAGAAATATTTAGCTGCAAAACACCGCAGACAAATTTCATAAAATAAAGGATTTTATTCCATAATTTGTCTCAAATTAATCTGTATTAGTAAACGTTAAGAAAACAGAATGAAAAGCCTAGAGTTTTTATTATTACTATTATTATTGTTGTTGTTAATAGTAGTATTTTTCAAATACTTGATTTCATAAAAATAGGTTTTTATTTTGCCTAATCTTGATTGAAGATAAACTATGAAACCATTACTAATGTTTCATTTCTTTTTTTTTTGTGAAGCAAATGTTAGAAATACATTTACTCTCAAAACAGAAGTTAGTCAGCCCAGCTAACAATTTGCACAAAAAAAAAACTGTACGTTAGCTAAAACAAATTGCTGAAAGTTAGCAAAAAGAGCTAAACATTTGAAAGCGTTCATTTGAGGCATGTTTTGGAATTTTTTTTTGTTTTGAAACATTTTTTAAAAGGCTGCAGTAAATTATATACAAAATGTCACTAAGACCGTATGTTGACATCTTCGCCTAAAACTTTTTACTAATGTAGTAAATTAAGAAAGAACCCGTGTCATTTTTAAATACTCCCAACTGAACACAGTTACTTCCACAACACTCTCCAAAGCCTCACTCTGGAGCCACAGTGTGTAACCAGAGACCTCTATTAATTTCTTAATCTCCAGTCTGTGATCTGAGCTGGAGCTGGTTCAAAACTAAAGTTTCATTTGTCAAAACACATCATCTGTTCATCTGTCACCTGACCATAAATCCTCTGACACACAGCCGTGATAATGTCTTCATCCTACAGCAGATACCATTGTTTACGTTTCTAACGGCAACCTAATATTTGGAGGGTGCAGAGACGACAGCGAGCGGAAGCTGAAGAAGGGGAGTGCGACAGGAAGTAGTTGACACGACTTTATGAGTATTTTGTTGGGCCTTCACTTTGCTGAGCAATTAACCGTTTGGCTGAAAGCGTGGTGTCAGCTCCACTGCTCCTCAGACTGAGCGCTGTGGGCTGTTCATCACTTTTACAACTCATTTTCTCCCCAAACACTTCACACTGCACGTCTACATACGACCTCAGCAGTAGTGCTGCTGCTGCTGCTCTGTCCTTGAGTTCCCGGTGACAGGTAAATATACTCTCTCGTCCAAACACATGTCCCACATGGTCTATATTTGACTTACGGGAGGTCAGCTGGACGGATATCGATGCCGCACTTCATTTTTAGAGGCCTGATGATGTCATGTTGCAGTCGGTTGTGGGTTATGGCTGTGCTAACCTGTTGCTGCGGGAAAATAAGCTGAGGCCACAGCAGTGATTGACAGGTGGGTGAAGAAGCATGGGTGAGATTTTTACAAACACTTTTTTCTGTTCTTAAACTCTGTTTTGACTCCACAATAAGCTTCTGAGAGCTCTGTTGATTTCTTATCTGAGGACTTGGGAACTAGCTGTCATGCACATTTAGTGGGAGTTCACACTTGCTTCAACTAACAATTTTTTTTTTTGTTTGTTTAATCTGCAAAACTTTCTCCATTGCTATATGAAATGGTTAGGTAAAAATTTTGATTGTTCAGAATTATAAAGAATATTTATGAATATGAAAAAAAAACACCTGCAGGAATGATCAAATTTAAGTAAATTATATATTTAAATATATCTATTATTTACTTTTAGTTACACAGCTTCTTCACAGAAACTTTTTGAATAAACATTGGCTGAGCTATAATCCCTGTTTTCTTGATTAAGCTGAGCCTTTTGTGGATGCCCCTGGGCCCGTGCTAATTTTTTTGTTGGAACTTTTTTTAAAAGTTTACAGACTTGTCTGTGTCATTTATTCCTTGTCGGGTTTCTCCAGTCCTTTACATACAGAGATGAACAACCAAAGTGATACTAAAAGTACATGTTTTTTGACTATGGGGTGAAACCAGAGAACAGGGTCCAGTTCAACATACATCAGTTAGCCTTGTTTGAACCAGAGATCTTCTTACTGTCAGGTAAGAGAACTAACCACACTTCCACCGTGTGTCAGTAAAAACAGTAAAACCTTTGAGTGTCACAGCTGCCATACCCAGATTCAAACCCAGGTCTCCTGCAGACGGCCGCCTCGCCGCTGAGCTAAAGCACCACAAAACAGTAAAGCTTTTGAGGTTTTGTTTTCGCTTCAGTAAGTTTGCCAGGTTTCCTGTAACTGTGATTTGTAGAGGAGGAAATATATTTGACTTTTCAGACAGACGCTGAGTGAAATCTTACATGGTCTATCTACTGTAACTCCAGCACATCGCTCCACTCAAGACATCCCACAGGGATCATCATCAGGTCACACGAGCGGGAAGAATGAATGGAGCGACGCGGCGTTGTCACTCAAACGCAATGGATCACTTGAACTCCATTGGCCTGCTGTAATGACCCTGTGTAAGGACCTGTAATGTGGTTTTTCCCACCGGGTTTGGGAGAAACCCTATGCCCAGTCATTCAGGTGGAGCAATAAAGTGCTTTTCACTTTCTGAGGACTTCCTGTCTCCAGCGGTGTTCTCCATTAACTCGTCACAGACGCACAGGAGCCCTCTGATTGGTCCAGACGCTCTTTATCGCTGCAGTTATTCCCAGTAGGTACGGCGCTACCTGGACCCGAGATAAGATAGGACAACGGCCGTCTGTCATTACTGGCTGATGAAGGCTATCTGAATATTGACCGCTGATTACACCGCCTGTTGAGAAACACACTTGGACTTGTGGGACAGTTGCACACAGGCCTTTTATTGTCAGGGGTATAAGATGGAATAAAGAAGCAGGGTTCCCTGTGGTAACTCCTTCTGCTCCTCCTCCTCCTACCACTGCTGCTGCGCCTCCTTCCTTAGTTGCATTCTATTTATTCACACCAGCTGCAGTGATGGGCTAAAAAAGTTTTTGACACCGACTATTGCTTTTCATCACTGCAGCTTCCGACTGCTAACAGGGACAGAGCTACCCCCTGCACCCCCCCACTCCCACCCCCCCTGTACTCCAGAACTGTCCAAACGTTTTTCTGATGAGCCAGATTTAATCATGTAAAAATATCTGAGGGACAACTGCTTCTCCTGTGGAAATAAATACTAAATTTAGGTGACAAACACCTGTACGCCTTTTGTTTTTAAAATGTCCATAATAAACTAGCTTTATTGGAATAAATGAGATGAAGCAATTTTTCATGTTTTGACAAGATTTCCATAAAGAAAGATGACTAGGAAAGTAGAGAATGTAGATGAACTATTTTTAAACAAAAACAATCTACTATTTAGTGTCATCAATGTGCTGGGAAAAACATACTAAACTGTTGCATTTAGAATATAAATCATTCCAAAAAGAAAAAGAAAACTGCACTTTAAAATGATAGATAGATCAATCGCTAGATAAAAGCTAGAAAAAACTTTTCAGATTTTTTGTTGTTCCAAGTATAGCAATTTTCATAAATTTAGCTTAAAATTACAAAATATTTCAAGCCTGAAACTTTTAAATATTTTGCTTTTTAAAAAAAGTATCAGCCTCAATGTGTACAATTTGGATGCCAACATACAAAATTGAATTGCCAACATGTTAATTAAGTACTTGGGACGCCAACATACAAAATTTAATTGCCAACATGTTAATTAAGTACTTGAATGTGGAAATATTTTAAATTTCTTTGTTACTTGTTACAAATCAAACCTGAAGTGAACCACAAACAAGAGGAAACTTGGTTTTGTTTTACCCCAACACATGGCAGATTGGAAGGCACTTCTAAATCTAAGCTGTAGAAATAAGGGCCATGATAGAACAGGTGACTCGGTGGAGGGTTCTTTTATCTAAACCTCTCAGGGCTCAGATCATCCGTTTACATCTACAATAGCTGCCTTGGCCAACACTGAGGTCAGTGTCTGGGCATTTAAAAACACTAGGCAACACTTTGACTTCTTATAATTGTTGGATTTCTTACAAATGAAGTGTGAGGGAACGCAGTGCAATCATGCTGAATGTAATGTAGTTTCATTTGAATTCGTAAATGAAAGTGTAATTGGAAGGAATGGAGAAACGGGGTAAATTGATCACAACTTTTAGTTTAGTAAGCTGAACAATTTGATTGGATGGGGAACAGAACATTACAGGAAGTCTGCATCTGTACCAGAACTTCAAAAACAGAACAGAGATCTGCACCACCTGACCACCATCTCTTCATCACTATGATTAACCAAAAGTTGACCTGAAACATTCACAGACTCACAGAATACCTAGTACCAACCCACCATGTCCAACAGTTACTAATCATCTCACTGGGCCAGAAGACCAATGTCCCAGTGGTAATATTAAAGAGAAGTTTGGTACTACTACTTAATAAATCTGCTAGAAAACTATAAGACGGTATAAGAAAAATCTGTTTGAGTTTCACCAGGTCTGAGATTAAACTGCATATTTCAACAAAAAAGTTTTAAACAAACATTTTTAAACAACATTTATTAGCTGAATGGTTATTTAGAGCCAAGAACTGAAACCTTCATAGCAGCATACTCACGAGCCTTAAAAACAAAGTCAAAGGCCACAAACGGGACATCAAAAATGTAGAATGTTCTTAATTACATAAACTGCCAGTGAATTCTAAATTAAAGGTAAAAATGTTCCTGGGAGACTAGTTAATGGCCACACTGGGATGTAAAGGACAGGAGACAGGTAGGCATGGCAGCCAAGAAGAAGAAGAAGAAGACCTGTTACTGGACATCAGCTTCTTGACACCCAGATTGCACAGCCTATAAAATCAAGACCATTTTCTGTTTGTACTGCTATGTTTAACACATTCAAACACAAGCAGACAAGGTACGGCGACCTTGCGAAGTACAGCAGCAACACAGAATAAAATAAGAAAAGAAAATGTCTTCTTACTGTGTTGAAGATCTTCAGGATGACCAATCTAGAAAATAAAACAAAGTCACAAAAGAGTTATTTTAAGTACTGACATTTTGGTATAAACATATTTGCCAAATAATTGATTATTACTTTACCAGCAAACCTGTGTTTGTGTCCATATGTCTCTCACCTTGTCTTTCAGTTTCAGGAGTGGACCTTGACGCTGGACAACTCTGACCTGGCGCAGAAATCTTGACGTAGCTGTTAATTTCAAACAAGGTTGAAAACAGGTTTAACACAATGTAAACAGTTTCTTTTAGAAAGTTACTGTAGCAGAAATTGAAGCTGTACTTTAAACACCAAACTGATAAAACATGATTCAGTGAGTAAACACAGTCTCCTAACACATTCTGACAGGGGGCAGTCTATTTTTAAATTCGTTTCAGCAAAGCAAGAAAAATAAATCAACCAAAGTTGTCTTCCACTTTAAGTGAAGTCTAAGCTATTTGGCTAAAGCTAATGCAGTGAGTCAGAACACAACAGCAGGGAATACAACTCCAGAAGTCATTCACCTTTCTGTCTCACTCCTTCGTCCGGACCAGTTCAAGCCGCCGTTAAGGAATAACGCCGTATACCTGTGAGATTTAAAGCACCTGGCGAGCTTTTACAGCGTCTGACGTCATAAGCCGCGACCGTTTTAAGTCATGTTGCCTGTTCCGCCGCAGCTTTGTGACGTGAAACAAAAAACATCGTGATTGGCCGGGTTCATGTGGGGCGGGGCTCCCGCAGCAGCGGCCGAAACACCAAAAAACATCGTGATTGGCCGGACTCCTGTGGGGCGGGGCTCCCGCAGCAGCGGCTTGTTTTATTTTATGTCGGAGTTTTTAGTAGAGGGTTGTCAGTTAAAGCAGTTAGTCCAAGTTAAAGCTTGAATTTAGTTAATGAAATCTGTTTAGGTGGAGTGGGCAACAAGGAACTCAACTTAAAAGTCACGTGTAAACTAATTTGCTAATTAATAAGAAAAAAGGAAGCGCGAAACATTAGTCCTTCAGAAAATGTTACTTCTTTCTCCAGATGGACTTCTTGCTACTCCTTGAAGTACTGAGTAACACAACATGTAAAAATGTGAAATTAAAAGCTCCTCCAGGATCGACGAATTTCGTTTGACCAAACACATGCGCGCACACACTGCTTCCCGTCTAGTTTATTAAAGGTTTCAAATCATTAATATTTTCTTATTATGGTCGAAGCAATAAAACATGTAATAAAAATAATAAAGAGACTCGTGTGTAAGTTCTGTACAGTACATCGGTATGAACTGTATACAAATGTACATACAGTACTATATGTATGCATACTGTACCTCGTTGTATTAAAAATACCGGTATAATGTAGATATAATAAAATATTTTGAAAAAAATGAATCTATCTTTGAATATATTATAAGTTGTGTATAATAATAATAATAATAATAATAATAATAGCAAACTGTTTTGCTGTGTCGGAACAAATGTGTGTGTGTGTGTGTAACTCTATCCTACAGACGCCACTCTATTTTTTTCCTCCTCCTCCTCCTCCTCACCCTCTTCCTCCTTCTCTTTCTCTTAGGCCTTTATGTCATTAGACTGTTTTGAAAAATAAGGAGAGGTTTTTAACTGCCATCCGAGACGATAATGGTTACCGATTCTATACTTTCAGTAATAATCTTCAAGTGGCTCGTGATTAATGATGGCAGCGTGAGGCTGAGGCTCCTCCAGGCCCCTGACTCCCCCTCTCTCCCTCTCTGCCACTGTCTCTCTACCACTCTCTCTCCCTCTCTGTCTCAGAAATGTTGCGGTCGCATATTATGAATAGCTCACGCAAATAACACACACACACACACATGTACAAACACAGAAAGGAGGCAGAGGAGGCAACAAGTCCCCAGGTGCAAAGCATAATATTGAGCCTACAATCCATCTTTATCGATTCCCCATCAGCGTGGTCGTCTAATACATGCATAAGGAGCTTTCTACCTGTGAGTAAATATGAGACCACCGGTCTTTAGAGGTCACGTTTTTAGGTCAGGGTCTCGGGGATCGTCACGTGACTGGGTGGAGGAGGAGGGTTAGTTTCTGTTTTATTTGTATTGTTTTGGGGTTTAAATAGAAGAGCAGAAACACGCGGGGACGAAATCAGGAGCCCGATCAAATGTGATTGGACGAAAAAAGAACACGTTATTTTATGCAGAGTAAGGTATTTTAACAGAAGTATCAGAGAATATTTGGGACGATATTTCTTAAGTGACCCCTAAAAATACTAATATCTAAATGTAAACCCCCTACAGGACTGGCCTATTTACTGAGCTGCAGCTCACTTTAGTGACACTCATTTAAACCGGAGCCGAAACAGAACTTCGTCAGAATATCATTATTATATACTATAGCTATAACCTGTAAAAGTATCAGAGTACTTCAAGTCAGACTTGTGAATATCATTATTATATACTATAGCTAGTATCAGAGTACTTCAAGTCAGACTTGGAAAGAAAAACATTATCGATGCACAAAAGGCAGCAGAAAGGTAGAAAATAATGTAAAAACTATTACATAACACATAACACTATTGATGATCAGAGGCAGATTATTGGTTCAGATGAGACAAACCCAGATCTCCTTGGTCATACAGATGTTAGCTGTATTCTTAAAGGAGAAAGGGAGCAGCATGTAACCCAAAGAACATCTTCCCCAGAACACATAATAGTAAGAATAATGGAAAAATATCTCACTTTATGACAGAGCTGGGAATCATTTGGTAAAAATGATGAAGGACACGAGAAACACGTGAGGACGAAACTGGTCTTCATACATGACCCAGACCACACTCTGGTCTGGAACGTTCTTCTGAAGTCTGGAGTGAATGGAACTGACTGACCTGCAGAAAAGACGGACTTAAAACCCAGTAAAAAAATCTCAGGAACCTGGGACAGAAACCTGATAAGAAATGAATACAAATCACTGCAGTCTGGCAATTTAACTTAAAGTATAACTTTTGACTTTTTATGTGCCTAGAAAAACACCATGAAGTCCATACAGGAAGTGGGATAATTTTTAAAAATTAATTTAAATAATTAAAAATTAATTTAAAATATAATACATTTACCAACCACTGTAACTACTGTCAGATCATAAACACATTTATATTGGCATCCAGTAGGGGTCGCCATCTTGTAAAAACAGTGTACCCAAGGTTGTGGTGGAGAGGGGTCTCTCTCTCTCTCTCTCTCTCTCTCTCTCTCTCCTCCCCCTTCTTGTGTTATTTACAGTTCTTGTGAAATGTCTCACTCTGCTGCTCTTGGCTCCCTGTAAGTTATTTCTAACCTTTTTTAAGCTCTCAGAATAACAGAGTGATAATAATGAGAGGTAAAAGAAAAAGAAAAAGTCACCAGGACAGTTAAGACATGAATTAAGGTGGAATCATGTGGAAATAAATCCTGGTTTATTTGTCAATCTTATGTGCTCCACTGCAGATAAACTGGGATTATTTCCCTGGAAAAATCAGGCTCTCATGTTGACAAGCTCAAGGGCCAAAAAAAAAAAAAAAAAAACAGAGAAAGAGAGAAGAAGAAGAAAAAGCAGGCCCCTGGGCTTCTCTAATTAAATCTTAACTGATGGAAATAAAGGTTTCAGCACCTCCAGGCTCCGCTCGTTTCCCTCTTTTTATTGCGCCTTATTTATTCTGCACTTATGCATGGCCTCCTTTCACCAACTTCACCAGCCCTGTAGCTATGCTATTCCAATAATTATCTTTTTTTTTAACTACATCACTGAGATTTGCCTGGGTGTCTGAGAGTGTGAGAGTGTGTGTGTGTGTGTGAGGGAGCTGTCAGTCACTTTTAAAGAAGACGAGCACCACTGGAGTGTGAAGGAAATCACTTCTAATTTAATAATAATCCCCCCCAAAAATCAGCCATTAAACCTTATTTTTAACATCTGCCCTCGGAGGAAATTCTCTGTGTGGACACTGAGCTCACGCAGCTGCTGCACTGTGGCTTTGAAACCAGTCAAATATGTGGACTCTGTGTTTTGGAGATTTTTTAAATCCTGTATATATATTTTTTTTTGGTCCAAATGTATTAAACAAACAGGCAGCGGTGGCTGCTGCTCTGTGGGAGAAAAAAAAAAAAGTCCAAGAAGGTGAGGTCCACGGAGAGCTCTGTTAAAAGCTTCCTGCTCCTGCTCACTGTTTGTCTAAGGAAATCCTATATCATAAATGATAAACAGATAACAGAGCTGTCTCCTGCAGACACGTCCATACGCTGTGAACAGGAGCCAGGAGGAGGAAGGAGGAAGGAGGAAGGAGAGGGAGCTGGAAAACTTCCTGCAGGGAGGAAGATGTTGACAAATAAAGAACACACGTCTTTGTTTTCACTGAGCTTCAAAATGAGATTTATACAGTGTGTGTGTGTTGATCAACGTCAAACAAACAAGGTGTTTTTGGTCACTACTGTAAAACATATGGCTCGGGGGCCATATCAGGCCCGCCTTATGGCGTTTACGCTGGTCGCCAAGATGCCCTTTGTGAAGAAATACTTCAATTTATATTTTATGCAACAAAATATTTGTAAGAAGAAATCAGATTAATTGTATTTCATTCCGATGCAGTAGGTGTATTTTCTTTATATTTGTTGCTCATACTTTTTCATACTCTTGTCTTTTCAATCTTGATTTTCACAGTAAACTAAGCAGGATTTGGACAACATTTAATTTTTTTTCTCTATGTCAATATCACACAGTATTCCAGCCCTGTCGGCCTTAGAAAAGAAAACCGGAAGAATTTCTAGAAACAGAAAAAACAGATTCACTACATAATATTTTATATTAAATCGAATTTTTTAATTTAAGATAAACTACTTTGGCGCCTTTAAATATTTACAGTCTCTCCAGCAGACATGCGCAGTTAGTAAAAAGCTGTGGATACGGCAGTTCGTTTTTGTATTTTTTTTTAAATCCTCGTGTATCATGTATCGCATTTTGTCATTCATGATTTTGTCATTCATCCTCGTGTATCATGTATCGCATCTGGAATTTTTCTTGCGTGTATTTTGTCATTCATGATTTTGTCATTCAGATACAAAATGATTTGTGAAAATAATGTACGTTTATTTGCGTTTACATTTTATTTATTGGTCAGTTTATTGCTGAACGTTTTACTGATAGTGATTCATTATCTGTTTATTTTTCTACGGTAAACTGTAAATGTAAATAAGTGTGAATGTCGTCGGTCTGTGACCAGTCTGGACACAGGTGGACAGAGGACAGGTTTGGGGCAGTTGAAAAAAAATTGATTAATGAGCTGAAAAAAATCTCCAACTTTTTATTTTTTTGATTTGTGAAAATTATAGTTTGTTACAACCGTAATATTTAATGTAGGTTTGATGATTTTCTGTTTTTGAAAGATTTATTTACATATAAATATATTAAAATAAATGATTCTTATTTTTCAAAGCATTGACATCAAAACATCATTTCCTCTCAGAGTCGGTTTCTGTTTTCACTGTTTTCGCAGATTCGTGGATTAAATTAAAATAAACAAAGAAGAAAATTCACTCTGTTCGTTTCGAGCCTTTACATTATTTTTTTATTTTTATTATTATTATTATTTTAGACTCTGTCTTGTCTCCCGTGATTGTGTTTTTTAAGTGAACGTCGAGAGGGAGACGAGCTCAGGTTTGACTTTTTCTTCGTGTCACAGAGGAATTATTGGAGAGAAATAAAAATAAATGAGGCAACGCTTGAGTTCAGAGCAGAGACAGAGAGAAGACGAAAATATACAGAGAGGACATGAAGTGTGTGTGTGTGTGTGTGAGTGTCTGGCCTTGCTGCTGGTTATTTCTGCACAGTTTGGATGGCACACACACACATCAACCCTGGCTTTAAAATAAAATAAAATAAAAAAAAAGCCAAAGAAAGAGAGGAGGGCAGGGAGACAGGGAGGCAGGAGAGTCTTTTGGTGGCGCTATAATAAAGCATTTTCCCCGGGCTTTATTGATCAGTCACTCTGAGCTAATGTAATTATCCTCATCAATAGGGAGACTGCAGGGAGAATCATTATGCGGTTGACATTGATAAATGATCAGCCAAATGCGGCCCTTTTCTCCCAGGGACCCCCGCCTCTGACCCGCGCACACACGCGCACGCACGGACACGCACACACAGGCCTACATAACGTAGTCATAGAAACACCTTATGGCAGGAGCAGGAGGAGGGGGAGGAAGGGGGGAGGGAGGAGGAAAAAAAGTGCTGAAATGTTTAAAAAAAGGAGGCCAATACTCACACACACACACACACACACACACACACACACACACGCACACGCACTGAGTCCCGAATACACAAATACACTGTCCCCCCAGAGTGAGCCATTTTGGGTACGGAGCCAGCTGCAGAGCGAAGGACGCGCAGTCCCTCCTGAGTGTGTGTGTGTGTGTATGTGCGCGCGCGTGTGTGTGAAAGAGAGAGAGTTTCTCTGCATGCGTCAATATACATGTAACAAATCTTAAAGAAACGCATACTTAAAACCAGATGTGCAAAAAATACAATCACAAACAATAAAATAAAATAAAAAATAAGAATGTGGTTGATGACGTGCACGGTGTTGGTAAAGAGTGTGTCTGACTTTTAACGTCTCTTCCACGCATACACACACACGCGCGTTGAGTTGGAGGAGGAAAAGTAGTGCGTGTTGCAGGGTTGCAGCAGCAGCAGCAGCAGCAGCAGCAGCAGCAGCAGTGGGGGAATATATTCCTTATTTTATTCGTGCAGCAACAGCCCGGACTGGCTTTGACAGGGAGGAGATGAAGGGGAGGAGTTGTTTAGCTCGGCTGGATCATCCATCATCCCTGTCACAGCAAATCGGCAAAAAGGAAAGCAGCAGAGGCAATCTACCTTCTGTCTCATCGGGGGGAAGAAAAGGAGGAGGAGGAGGAGGAGGAGGGGGAGGAGAGGGGGAGGAAAGAAAAGAAAGACACGGAAAAAAACTATTAATATTAAAATCCTCTCCATCCACAGTAATCCTCACGTTTTCTCTCTTTTTTCATCTGATAATCTCCGCACAAAACGGACGACTTCCTCCTTCCGTTTTCAGCCGCGCCATAATGGAACCACAGGGAAATAAATAACCAACTTTTCTTTTCCCGGTTCGTTCTGAGCAGCTGAGTAAAGATTAAAATAAAGTGCTGGTGTAAAACACTCACACACACACTCACACTCACACACACGGTGGAGTGAACACGTCACAAGGCCTCATTAAGGAAAACGCGTTAAAAATATGCAGATATTCAACCGTGATTTTTTCCCCCTAAAACAATAAAATTTAAAATAAAACCACAAAGTGGAAATAGTAATTAATAATTTAACAATAAGCTGAAAAGCAACAAGACGGGAATATTACTGTTATTACTATTATTTTTCAGCTTGAAGATATTTTTTAAATATTTAAATATCGTTTCATGTTTAATATTTTTTTCGATGAGTTTAAATTGTTACCAAATTTAATTTGATTTCATAAAAAAGTAAAAGAAAACGTTTCGCCCTTGTTTAGTAAAAATGGGCGAATTAAAAATGATGTTTATCAGAAAAACGATAAATTATTTTAAATGACTTTTTGCCTCAGAAATGAAACAAATACAATATAAAAAAACACAACAGCAACAGGCTGACATGGTCACAACCAAGAAAATGTATGTTTAAAAAAATAAAAACGAAAGTAAATTAAATTAAATTAAATTAAAATAAAAACGAAATTAAATTAAATTAAATTAAATTAAATTAGGAGGAATGATATATTTGCAAAATATAATTTTAAATGTTATCTGGCCAAGTCAGACAAATGCGTTTAATTAAAAAAAATTCGATCAGTGAGAGAAGAACAAAATGAAAATAATAAAATTACTACAATAAATTAGAACAAAAATTTGAATACATTCAGTTATAAAATTATTTTTAATTAAACGGCACACATCGAATTATCATTACTATTACTACTATTATTATTATTATTATTGTTATTATTATTAATATTGTTATAAGATGTATATTAAAACATTTTGTCAATTCTCAGACAGTTTTGACTCAGTGATTTTTAGTGCTGAATTCCTAATAATTTAAATTTAAAATGTAGGAAATAAAAACATGTCATAAATTCAACTAACTTTTACTGGACAAAGAAAAACAAAAGGAGAAGAAAAAAAAGATGTATATTAAAACACACACACACACACACACACTGTGAGCCGCAGTGATGTTGTCATCTGTGGTTTAAGGCTATGACTCGTTTGGCCGCGGGCGAACACAGACAGAGGAGCAGGAGAAAAGAGCAGAGCTGGTTTTTATCAAAGAGCGTTTGTGCTGCTGTGGCTGCCGCTGCTGGAGCGCACTCCCCAACGTGGCCGACAGGCGGCGACGGCAAGTGGCAAAAAAAGAAAGGAAAAGGCAGCAGTGGAGCAAAAACAGTGAAGAGAAAGAGATTCTTTGGTCCATTGTTTTAAAGACAGGAACAGAGAGAAAGGTGACGAACAAACTACGGATTATTTAGAATTATTCCTGGATACAGATTATTCTAAAGATTAAAGTCTAACGTCTACATCAGCGATGTATTTGTTTTTATTTACTCCGGGAAGTACAGCAGTGGAATAAAATGGGACATTCTGTTCTTTAAATTTAAATTATTCCGCACTTTTAAAATTGAAAATAATTTAAACTAATTATCGCTTTATTAATAGTTTAAACCCGTGCTGTGTTCGATGCGTGGAAATGTCATATTTCTTTTTTGTTTCCGGTTGCATTTGACACTTGTTTGTTATTTGCGCGCGGAAACAAATGGCCTTTGGAAGATACGTTTCCACATCATTTGTCACAGTCATTTTAGGAGGTTATTCAGTCTGGTTGGCCAGAACTCAGCACGACGGCTGGAAATCTGGGTAAAAAAACCCAAAACAACAACAACAACAAAAAAAAACAAACAAACTAAATTTTAACAAATGCAACTTCGTCCTTAAAATCAACAAACGTATTGAATCCCTATGATAAGAAGTTGTTTTTTTTCTCCCCCAAACACAGTTAATGAGACAAAAATCTAACAAAAATCAAAAATGAAATATTTATTACAGCATTTGTGACTGAACACCTTTTAAACATTACGTCACAGTCCTCATACAAGTATTTAATGTAATTTTTGACAAAGCTTAAGGGAGAGGAGGAGAGAGAGGGGGACAGAGAGAGAGAGAGAGAGAGAGAGAGAGAGAGAGAGAGACGGCTTCTTATCATCTAGTGAGGAACACGTGCTGAAAAAGGAAGGAATTCATGGACATACAATATCAATGCCACAGCAGATCTGAAACTAGCAAAAAACATTCTTTTTCAATTGAGGTAAACACATAGAATATCTAACATGAAACAATTAATAGACTGAACTCTGTACGAAGTTTGTTACAATATTCTCTCAGCTTTTTTTTCCAACCCTCCCCCTCCCCCAAAAGCATTGAGTTCATAATTTAAATTTTTTTTTTCCTTTTTTTTCCTCCAAAAGTTTTAGGTTTTTTGGTGCATCAACCGTCAAACGCTCCTCCAGGGCTGCAGAACCAACGTTTGTGTCACTTGTTATTGTCCTTATGGCAAGAATGCTGTCGATCCACAGATGAAGAAGCTCCTGCAGGAAGTTGCTCTTTTCTTTTTTTTTTCTTCTCTCAATTATTATTATTCCACTGTTAAGCTTCCTTCAGAAGGCTCTTACCAATGAGAGTCCCAGGGTACAAAAAAATAAAATAATATTAAAATAAAAATGTATAAAACCAACACAATCCAGTGCTTGGGCAAGTCAAACTTTTTTTTTCTCCTTTAAAACCTACAGGGCAACATTCATTCATGAACCAAAGAGAGGGAAGGAGTTAAAAAGTGAGAGAAGAAGAAAAAGAAAAGGAGGTGAAGAAGAAGACGAAGAAGAAGAAGAAGAAGAAGAAGAAGAGAGAAGGGCATGACAAATGTTCCGACTGAATCTTCTGGAGAGATCCGGTGTCATTTAGCAGCCTTTTCCCATCATGCCCTGTTTTTATGGGGGACAGGACCTGATTGTCCTCTGTGGTCTGTGGAGCCTGTTGTCGTTGTCGTTGTTGTTGTTTTTTTTTAAGATGCTCCATCTTCTTATTGTTGCTGTTGGGTTTTTTTCCTTTCTTTTCGTTCATTCATCCTTTCTTTCTTTTCTAGTGCTGTGCTGCGAGACAGTTTCTCCTCCACGAAGGAGCACACACAGTGTGGGAGCGAGAGAAAAAAGGTTAACCTTTAATTCTAAAAACTAGCTCAGGAAACATAAAAACCATGTGATCAACGAAGAAAAAAAAAAGCACAAGTTTTAACTTATTTATCTATACTTTTTATACTACAGTAGTTATAACTCTTGGAGTCTTTCTTATAAAAACAAAAAAAAAACTTCCGGAGTGATTTTTAAAAATGTTTCGGAGTGTTTCAGGAGCGCCACATGAAAGTGTACTTGAACACGTGTGGGATGACGTCCGTGTGAGTGTGTGAAAAGTGTGTGTGCGTGTGTTGTTTACATGTGTGCACGTGTCCGTCGGTTGCACAAGAACATCCTGTGATGATCTCAACCAAAAAAAAAAAAGCCCCAAGACTTTACAAAGTGTTCTCGTCAGCTTGGTCCTCCGTTTCCATGAAAGTAACAAAATTGACGAGTTTAAAAACAACACAAAAAAAAAAGAAGAAGAAGAAGAAAAAAAATCACAGCTCATCTGGAATTCTGTTTCTTTAGAGTCAAATTCTGGTCAAAAGAGTTCCTTTGTGTTTTTTTTTTTTATTCTCAAAAATAGTCTGAAAATAGGATTTTTGTTGTGAGCTGCTGCTTCCTCTACTTTTTTAAAACCTTGTAGCTGCTGCTGCTGCTGCTGCTGCTGCTGCTGCTGCTGTTGTTGTTGTTGTAGAAAAGTCCCCTACTACTGGGCATGGATGTCCAGACCTTGTCCTCCAGTACTCGGGTCGATGGGTGTGAGCAGAGGGGGTCTCTGTGCAGACATGGTCATTCCTGGGTGCGGCGAGGGTCCTCCGTGCATCAGCATGGCGTGGTGGTGAGGATGATTGGGCAGGTACGCGTGGAAAGGGGGTCCGTGACGGAACTGGGAGGGGTGGGAGGTCATCTGGTGAGGGTTGGCGTAGTTGGACCGGGCCATGCTCATGCCCATTGGACCGCTCTGAGGTACGTACTCGCCCGGCATGCCTGGCAGACCTGAGGCAGAGGCGGAAACAAGACCGATTGGTCAATTTTGGAACAGTTACGTTGATGAAATACAAAGATCAGGATTCTCAAACTCAAACAAGCTGAAGGCAACATCACTGTTCTGAGTTCAGTACAAAAAAAAATCATCAGTCAGTCAGTCATCTGTCGGCGGGTCAGAGACTCACAAGAAGAAAATAATTTTAGGCCAACATTATTATTTGATGTTTATTTAAGAATCCAGTCACGGGCTGGATTGGGCAATTTGGTGGGCCG